TGTTTTACAACTCGACGGGTCAGGCCACAGCTGTGTAAGCTAACTGAGCGTATTGCGTTTTGCATGGTTGCCCAGTATTGATCTAAGCTCTTTGATGGGGTAAAACAGTCTTGTGGTCAACTCTTTTTGGTAGTCGGCTAGTACGGCCGGATAGAAAAGCTAGAGAAAATCAAACGGATTGGATCGCATCTTTTTGTAGCCACCAAATCGCATACACAACTTGGCACATGCCAGTGCGTTGTTGGAGTCCAGGTAAGACCAATACGAACGGCAGTCTTTCACACATCATCTACATCTATAGCTAATAGCAATATTATCAATTTAAGTCCACATATGTATCGAAGAGGGGTACACCAAGCAGTGAACTGACGCTTTGGGTGTTTGAAATTCGTGCTGCCGAGGAACAAGCTGTGTTATGAGCATATCCTCAGAAGTCTATCCCCATTCTCTAATCGACAGTTATCGAGTCCGTAATGGCCACCAAGATAGGCCTCATCGGGCGACAGACAGCCAACACGTGCGTTTAGATCTCCGGCCAGAATCCCGATATCAGTTTAGGTGCTTCGAGACAAAGCTGATGTAAACCGTGATACAAGACTACAGTCTGCGGGAGCGTATGCAGAAATCACCAATAAGCACCGTAATTTGATTTCAGCTTTTTGACTTTACTTGAGTTTTGAAGTTTCACTGCACATAGATGGCTGTCTAAGAGGATCCAATCCAACAGTGCAACCTGGGCACAGCACTTAAGGAAATATCAAAGCTTGCGGGACCAGACGATGAAAAGGGTCCTGGAAATGCTCAAATTAAACCTTTTTTTGTAACGGGACGTCAATCAGATTAATAAGCTGGGATCCTTAACGCATTTTTCCGAGAGGTAACACACATCCATCTTTAGACTTCCGAGCGTACAAGCCAAGCATGCTTGTTCTCTGATACGTATTGAGTTTCATACGTTGACCGAGGCAGTTTGAACGCAGAGTAAGATGGAAGGAATAGAAACGTAGGCTTCCATTGATTCAGACGTCAAGAATAGCGCTGAGCTAAAACACGAACTTACGTCAGTAGAACCATCCGAAGTAGAACATACAGTGGATAAAATAGAGGTGTTGTATGGGAGATGACTGATTATCACGTACGTAGACCCAGTTTATATCATTCCATAACCAACTTCCAACTGGTGACCATCTGTTCAATCGTCAAGTACACGAACAACCATGCCAGGTGGATTATTGCCGATTGGACGTCTGTTGACTCTACGGCGAAAGGAAACAGCTGACTGGTTGAACAACATTAACGGTAAGCAACCACTCTTAGATTCAAACAAGAAGTAATGAAGGAGAAAAATTCACCCAAAACCCGTCCTATTACAGCCCGGATGAAATTGTAAACATACACACTCATAAACAAAAATCTCGATATCAGATGAGAAACCACCGAACATAAACAGTTAATCCATTGAGGTTGTCGGCTTGCGGAGACGGAATACTTCTTCTGTTGTTTCTAAGATATTACCCCTAGATGAATGTAAAAATGCGGGATTTCTGGTTAGCCAAATTAGAAACAAAAACAGCAACAAAACCAACGCAATCGAAGTGTGATATCAGATGCTGGATGAGGCCGAAGAACAAATTATATACGGTAATCTGTCCGAAAGTCAAAGTAACAGTTTCGAGTCTGGTTTGATTCAGAAAAAGATACACGAAGAACGTTGCTTTCATTAAGATGTACAGTGGTTTGCTAAAACACAAAATTGTACGCCATGAGGATGTCCGCTTGTTTAGCTGTTAGAGTGGTACGTTTTCTGAAATATCATCTTATAGCCCTCACAATACACCTGCCACCTTTTATCAACGCGATACACTAACAAGAAAGTTTGCAGCTCTTCCAAATTCCTGTATTTTAAACCAGTAGGAACTAATAAACAAAAGGGTTTGCGTTCTATTCATACCAACCAAAAACACTCGTTGGAAGAAAAACATACAAACGCATCGAGTGCACAATTTGATATCACAAAACTCAGATTCAGCTAGAGGAATTGAAGGACACCAGAAAATATCATGAATAATTTCATATACGTAAGAATATTGTGGAAGCAAATCCGTTTAATCATTGTTGAGTGGTTGCAATAGTTCTGCTCTATTACTGAGCTGAGATCCCTTTTCGAAGTCTCTCTAATAGCGGCTAAGGGGAATTTATATGTGGATGCGATTGAAATAATTTCTTTGCTGTTTTTTGTTCATTGCTGAAAAGGTTTGATCTACTTAGTTTCTACTAAACGCAGTTCACGACACTGGACAAATCCTGCCTCTTATAATCGTTATATGATTAGATAAAATGAAAGGTTTTGTGTACTTTAATTAGAAGTTAAATAAGTCAATTTTCCTTTCGAAGAGTGCCAGTAAAGCGCAGCCTCTAAACAAGCGTACGATGCTTTTTTAGCAAATAAGGGATCTACCACTTTGCGAGTATGTTCATTTATTATATATAGTGGTCATCGTCATGATGGAGCTAACAAAGCGTGAACTGCAAAACTACGAAACACTTAAAGCTATTTTGATCCTATTGGGTCTCATCAGCAGTGCGGATCTACGAACCCAATCGGGAATGGAACTGGGCACCTCACAGGTAGACCGCAAGCAGACTACGCATTCGACCACCGAGCAGCTGACCAGACCGTTTTTCATTTTGTCTGTTCACGACACAGCATAATATATTGTAACGTACTCGTTGAAGGCATCGGACCTCGCTCATGTCAGCACTAGCCTCCGGGGTTATGAATTGGGTTGAAACATACCATTATGACTACGTGTTACATGAGAGTAGTAGATAATTTAATTCAATTACATGTAGATTGATGGAGATGCGCTGTTCCGTATTGTGCAACCGCAAAGTGGAATCCATTTCCAAAACCTAAAAAAACATTGTATTCCTCTGCGGTAGGTATCAGTTGAGATGCAGTGAAATCTTCCAGGGCATAAATCGTGCAGTGTTGCTACACTGGCTTCTCTCTTCAAAATGGAAAACTGTATGATTAGCTGTCCGGCGATCGAGTGGACAGTATGCATGCGGTCTATCCGTGAGTTCATGGGTTCGATCCCGAGTTAGTTTCTCAACGCTTTGAGACTGTCACCTTGATTAATGATGAGACGTTTGCAATACCGTTGCCAAGTTTGGTGAATAAGTGAACATCAAATTATACTACTCGAGCTACCAAAACAACAATTGACACCGTTGTTTACAAAACGTTCACAAGTATATAATAAACTTTAATGAGTTGGAATGCGGCATATTTTAGGTTGTACAAGCCCATTCACAAGGATAGAAGATTAACTGTGGTGTTTGGATTCAGTTCAACCTCCAAGCAGAAGTAATGATGACCTTAACTCATAGAACGCCGTTCAGTGTTCTGTTAATAAATCAATAACGACTAGTATTTGACCACGATTTATCACCTAACACAATATAATTATGAACTTTATAGAGCGTACGACTTACGTTGCCAGATTTTTTGTTGCTATATAGCTACGCAAGCAGCAAATAAACTTTGCCAGAGGTTTCTTATTTTTGCTGTGAACTTCGTTCATTGATAACTTGTTTCATTTCCTATATAACAAGGGTTTTGAATCTCTCACACGGCAGTCAGTTGTTTGAGTAACCACAGGCACACAAATATAGTTCGCAGCTCCGAAGAGTCTTAACCTGAATGTGAAACAATTGTTTCGGGCTCTTCTTTCGGTCATCACACGTGTGAATCATGGCGAAAGAATTTTACATAATCCATTGATGTATTCAACCTTTTGCGACCAGTTTAATGGTAGAATGGTTTGCTGACATAAGCCCTTCTTGTACTGATCTGGTATTTTATTGACTTTCTTTGCCTCTTCTGTGTGTTGTGGCGTACGATTACCGCATGTGTACGTGACGGAATAACAGTTTGTTGTTTATTCCAGTAAATGGACGACATCCCATTGTCATTTATCATAATAATTCATACACGCTGCGTCGATAATTGGCACAGACACTGCTGCCATTCAGCAGTTAGTACCGTGCATAAACGATGCAAAAATACACATTAGGCATATCTCGCACCGCTGTCGCACGCAAAATCCGCTTTGAGGTTCGTATAACTATGATAATTATTTGGGTGATCAAGATTTTCTAATGTCCATGCACTGCCCTACTTGTAGAAAGAACAATTGTACACTGATTTTCAAGGATGTGGAGAGAAATGATGAAGTGAAAAGTCCAATTCACTCATTTGTATACCTGCACCATAAGTAGTAATTAGAACCCATTTTGTGGTGATCAGGTTTGATTTTCACTGTAGAAGTTTAAACCTTTTTCATTCGGAAGATGACAAACTCTAGTACAGCCAAAGTGTAACGCTAATGGTAGAATATGCGCCAGGAATTTCAAGGCACTAGTACTGCAAGCCCCTTTGATAGTTACCCATGGAAGGGCTTCATGTGGTACTCTAATGAATTCGGAATCTTCGGTTCCTCCGTAAATATCAGTCATATGGAGATATGACAGATTTCTGTGAGATCCTGGTTCGAATCATCACGGTTAGAATACAGAAGATAGGAAGTTGTTTTATATATATATATATGGTGTAGTCAAACACAAGGTTTCTCTTCTGGACGTGAGCTGAAAACAAAGTTGCTGTAATGAGCCTAGCCTATCTTAGTTCAACTTCACTTAAACAGAGGGACAAAAGTGGTCACGAAGATCCGAGTGTTAGTTTCTATCTCATAACCTTTGTAAAACTCACTAAAAGCAATGGAAGTATCAGTCGGACTACTCGCTCTCCAATGAATGATCGAAATAGGGCAAGGCAAGTTGGCATGTTTAAAGAGACTGATATGAGCACTCAAAACAGAGTATTTCCAATGAACTGCTAATGCTAAGTTTACGCATATCCTTCTTTAACAAGTCATTTTGATTGTTACATTTTTGCCCAACGTAAAACTCAACTGCTGATAGAATTTATGTTCAAATTAAATTCCGCCCTGAGCAGCTTGGGTTGTCGCAAATAGAGTTTGTAGCCATTCGGACTTGAAATCACGTGCGTGAACGGTAACCGGAAGTGTTAAAGCAAACTGTCCGAATGATGCGTCAACACAAGAGGGAGATTCGGAAAAGTAAAAATTGGGTTCACGAAACGACTGACTAGGTGTAATCTGATTGGATTTTTATCAAGTCAACTAGATCGCGCTCTCGCCACTGGAGCCCAAGCAAAGCGGATAATTGTGAACGAGTCAGTAAGACTGAAGGCAACAAGCTGCGTATGGAAACAACACGGTAATCATACAGAAAAATATCACTAGTGCATGCAAGAGTTCTGGGCTTTGAGTGATTCCGAGATTTTCGTTCATACTGGTTTCCCAAAATAAATTAAACTGACAAATAATATACTACCGTGGATGACTACGGAGTTCTTGTAATGTTGCACCAGAGCTAGCGTCCCCGCGGATAACAACAAAGTCCTAATGTTTCAGGAAGCTCAAATTTATCCATTCTTCAAACACCAACAAAAGTTCGCTGGAAACAGGAGAGGATTAAATAAGTGGTCGCGATAGGTGTGCAATTTGTTTCCTTTTCCTAACGGTTCGTGTTATGAGAATCACAAATTATCAAAGCAAACGTCAACAGCGGGTTGAATTAGTCGCCCTTCGGATCGAACTGATTTACATAATCAGTGATTCAGCACTAGCAAGGGTTCTAAAAGACCATTGTAGGGCTTAGCTATAAACCTGCACAGTAAGATAAGCCCATAACGCATAGCGAAAACAATCTTTAAAGCCATTTTATAGACGTTGGCGTTCGGTAGACTGTTCAGTCACCAATTTGACTGTAGACAGTTCGCAAACATCCTATTATATGGGAACAGCGCCCAAAATCTTTAGGATGCCTGGAAGGCAAAAGAATCATCGCTTTGCCGATACAACAATAAAATAAACTACAATATGCACAATCCAATGAAACAACACGAACGCATTCACTGCACTTAATGCCTATAACGAAGTATTTATAATTTTCAATAAATGACCCCAAATCCGGTATTATGGTGTGATATTGAATATAATAGAACTTAAAACCAGCATTTGACCCGCATCTTGAATTATTATTTTCGAATGAACTCGTTTAGTTACTAGTATGATCGTGATAACGAATCCAGCAGAAAAATGCAGTTATAAATTATGTACTGGTGGCTAAGTGGCATTACTGTTTTGAACTTACAGACAAAATGCGATGTTCTAATTCGTTTAGTACAGAGTAAACAGAAACCGAAAGCAAAGCAGCTTGTTATTTTTCTCTGAATTACGTATCCAGTTTTGTTGCAAACAATAGGCCGATAGATTTTTTTGTTCTTGTAGGCAGATCCTTTGGAGGCCAGCATCCGTGTCGGCTGATTTGCATATGAATAGCATAAATTGCGATCGGGCACTTAAAATAATTGGTTCAAACATACCATGGTCAAACCGTGACAACTTTGTGGACTACATTTTGTTCTGCCCCAGAACCAGAAACAAACAAAAATGTGAATAAATTTGGTTTATAAATGCATCAGTGGAGCGCTTTGCCCTAGCGAAGATGCTTGAAATTGTGGACTGGATTCTTCCGATTGTTTGTTCAACCCTTTTTTGATGCACATTCATGATGCAAGCAACGGAAAACATGACTGCTAGACTTGAGTCATGGACAGATATAACGATGGTTGTTACCGATAGAACACTTTCTAATTGGGCGGGAAAGTGATACGATTCGCCGAAGGAATACCAACCATTAGTTAAAGATATGCCTGAATTGATGGCACAGTAGACCTATAATGCAGAAATGTCCTTTTCCACTGTTGATAAGCTAAACAACACGGGATGAAAAGCACATGTCGCTCTGAATTCTAACATCATGGATGACATAATATGTGACACAAACGTCTGGAGTTAATCCGGAGGTCAAACTAAGGGTATATTTACTCCGGTGTCACACAAGCTTCAATCGAGTGCTGATGAACCGAATTTGAGTGACTAAGTAAGGAATCCGATTTTTATGCCTTTTTCGTTGCGTAATTTGTGGAAACTGCGTTTTACAATGACACTGGAAAATACATTTTTCAATATTTATTCATGCGCCACATAAACGTCTCCATATGAAAATCATATTATTATGTAGTTAAAGTAATTTGATTTAGCAACCAACGCCACAAAGTCGTTAGTTAACATTCAAAGACCAAAGGATTGAACGATTAATAGGTCAGAAGCAAATTACACTCGTGTCCAACAAATGAAAACCCTTCGCTAGCGATTGGACCGAAATCTAGGTAGACTATATCTCTGTGTTACGCTGTTAGACTTCGCATGGTATGGATAACTTTGGGACAAATCATCATTCAGTTTCATAAAAAATATCCGCGTTACCAAACACACCGTTGGGAAAATTCTTTACTTATTTATCTGTAGTGTATAGAACAAGCTATGTGCATCGGAGAATGTCTCGCAGAAGGACAGTTTTCACGTGTCAAATGTCCATTTGGTTAGTGTCATATTTCACACACACGACTTGCTTCTCAGGTTGTGGACGTGCACTTCAAAGGATGAAACGTTTCACCGACAAGTCGAGTACATCCGTGCATGATGAATGTGAACGGGAGTTGAAGAGCAAACTTTGCTTATTCTACATTCTAAACCGGTAAAATACAAATGGCATAAACACAGTACCTGTACGTTAAACAGAATAATCAATAACGAGTTTGCTCCATGCGGATCACACGCAACCATTGCGTTTGTGTTTCCGTTAGCATACTCAGTTTAACGTGTGATAAACACCGTTAGTAGTGTTCAAATTCTATGAAATCATAGACTGCTGCAGATAGAACACTTATATAAACATTTTCAAACATAAATTTCAATTCCTAATGGGTGAAAATGTCAGCATTTATTCTGTGGAGTTAATGTGATAAGACATGGGTTGCACGTCATATGTGAAGATAAAAACCGGCCTCATCAGTCCAGATTAAATCTTCTTTCAACAGTGCTAACAACGTGAACTCTTCAGCCACGTAAAATCAATTTAAGCTATATGCACTTATATTGGGTAGATTTTATGCTTACTAAATTGCTATTACTGCGAAAATTCTAAATAAAATAGGAGTTGAACAGTGAAAACCACGGAACGTAACCACTCTTAGAATCTCACATAGTTCGAACAATCCGATTTCTTCATTGCAACCCCATGGAAAAATTCTTATCGGTGAAGGGAAACACGAGACACCACGCGTGGTATGGATAAATAGTTATGCAAGTTTGAAGATACAAGCATTTTCACATTACTTGTCAACTTATCCGTAGTCAATGGATTCTTCCTGAGCATGATTGCTTAACTCTGAACCGAAATCATTTGAAGGAAACATTTTGCACATTTGATGAAAAATGAAGTGATCGGTTTTCGATTTACATGGATTGAGACCATCGAACTTTTCGTATGTTTCCCAAAAACTCAGACGTAAAGCTATCAATCAGACAAAACGTTTTGTGACCGTCCGTCTAGTCCATATTTCAAGGATTGGCAACAAAAAATTGTTTTTTTCGAACAGCGAAAGGTCATATAAGGATGGTCGGCTTTCGACACCGGATACACAAACGATTTAGGAGGGTGTCTGTGGATAGACCTGTGAGTCGTAGTCGCGATTCGCCACTTGACAGTTTTATCGGGTAAAGTGCGGCTAAACAGCGGCTAAAGTTCTTTTCAGCAGTGTGTTTCCGGTTTGGTGAATCACTCGGTATATATAGCAAACGTGGATGTGATAACCTGTACGCTTTACTGTAGAAATCAAAGTCGGGGAATTAGAGAAACGAATAACGACTGTTTCATGATTGTACGGAACGTGTTTGAATTTGAGGTATTCATATCATTAACACATTCAAATAAAAAATCCACTTAATGCTGAGGGTTCATTTTGAAACAGTGTGTTGTCATAAATGCAACAGCACATGTAGTGGCTTTTCTAACGCAATCCTGACTTTCAGGAACCCATCTGGTTTTATCTCCAAATCAATGAAGCCAGTCATCTACCTGAGGATATACAACACAGTCTTTTCATTTGTGATAAAACTGGTATTAAGGCGGACAAATAGCACTGGGTCGCTTGTTTGCACATGGTAAGAATAGTTAACAGAGTATTTTCTTTATTTTCTGATCGGTACTTAAACCGCGAGCTTTGGGGTTTGGAGCTGAGACCCTCACCCTATAGATGCACACAATACCACATTTTCAGCTTCATGAATTCGCATGAAATAACTGAGGCTACTTTAGATATCAAAGCCCGCGTTAATAGTGTTTGTTTATGACAAACAAGTAAATCCACGGGACAAAGTGCCTGGGGAGTAAGAATATTTCACTAAATCCATTTGTTTACGGTAAAGAAACACAAACAAGGTTTACAATCACCGCTGCTTGCAAAAACTGAGATTGGTAGTGTAATGTAACCGCTGAATAAACCGTGTTCTGGTAACAGCAAGTAATATCCAGGTGTTGATCAAACTCGTGCAACATCCTGACACTTTCATCACATTTGTTCCTCCCAATGCATAGTGCTTCAAGCCTCATTCACGGGATTGAATACGATATTGCCCCAAAACGAACGCAATATAGGTTTATTAATGTTATTCATAATACGTATATATTTACTGATATCAATATTATTATTATTATTGTTATGTTTTTGCTTCCAGTAGTCAGATGCCATGTTGTCATTTCACAGGAGTTCGGTCAATACCTGTAGCCATTCTATTTCACGTGGATGATGAAATATTCCGTTGGAAGTATTAAATGACGCTCATACTATTCAACTAGAAATCAGGCATGTAAAGTTGAAAGTTTTACAGTGTAGTTGTTTATCTGCGTGCCCAAAACGAACTGTAGGTTTATGCATCATTTTTGTGCCACCGCAAAACAGATGCCCCCACTGGAAACCGAAAAAGGTTTCAGTACCATTGGCGGTCGTTACCTAAGGTTCCCTGGGTTCTAGGGCCTTCTTTGCGACAATTTTCTCCTTCCTTCGGTGATTTCGTTTATCTATGGTTTACAAGTAGAAACTTATCAATGTATCAATGTATCAAATAAAATGTATTTCGACAATACTAGTTCAAAAAGTAAATGAATTAGGAAACTGAGAGGAACTGCACAGTCATTATGAATTTCTTTTGGAACAAAATCAGTGTAGTTCCAATGAATCCACTGAAGGTCAAACTCGGAACTATATAAGTAGGAAATAAGCTCACTACCCACTACTGGGTAACTGGGCAGAGAGGTGTTGCACGAGGTAGACCAAGCCGATTAATCCTGACACTAACCACCGAAAGTAAGAAACTTATTCCATTTTGGAATTTTCAGTTTCTAATATTGATGTAACAAGTCTTTTGTTAATCCGAAAAATGACAGTAAAATCATCACTAAGATTTGTATGCTCCGGGGACAATTATACACACCACTTATAAGAAGCAATGATCAAGATCACAACTTATTACATGTACACCGTAATTAAGTTTATCTCAAAACAAGGTAAAACGAGCAACGCCATTTATTCACAGCATCATCATGTATCAGCGATAACACGACCGACCAAAGCCAATCTTCGAATGACAACTTCATTTGGAAAACGTGGGATTTCTTAATACTTTTCTGTTGCAAACAGCAATCATTTTAAGTAGTAAAATCACAGAAGATCACATTTCACCAGTCAATCTAAACACAGAAGAAATCATCGGGGGTATGAAACATAGTGAAATAAGGGTGACATCCGGCGTACATTTTCACGACATGCGCAAACGACTGCTCCTACGTTGTAGCAAGGAATTCATTCTTCTAGCCTGAACTTATCAGTGAGGTTATATACTGGAGAAGTGATTCAACAAGTTGTCTGAACTCTTGGTCTTAATTAGCCTAAATCGATCATTCATTTATAATTTTAAAATTATCACCTACTCAAAGCTATCCACGTTAGATAAATCTGTTTATTTTGTCATAATAAAATTTAAAAATTTAATAAAAAAATGAACACTTTGGAGATGAAGGGTCGGCGTGCTAACGTAACCTCAAATTTGAGCTCATTTAGAACAAACAGTAATTCAACTTATGCAAAACAATGCCAGATAAAAGGAAGTCTCAGAAGTACCCAAAAGTGCACCACAGGACTTTATTCTTATTATTTGAGTCAGATATTTGCAATATGGAATAAATGATATATAAAGACACCGTTTCCCACGAGACAGAGCCTCACTTACGATCCAAGTGAGCAAACGTTCCCTCTTGTCCTGTCAGTTAAACTTACCGCATATCGATCATCTTTGGTCAACAAGGACAGTTGATTGAATTCCATCTGTATAGAGGAAACTTCTGACAAAGAGTGTTGTGTAGACCAGGCCGAGTACCGAGCAGTTCGTTTGGCAAAGTTTACATCTGGCATAGGCAAAGCGAAATGTGGACGAAAAGCGACCAACAGCAACGGGCCCAGTTCCTGCTGTAAACGGACAAGAATGTTCAAACAGAATTCCACGAAACTGATTGTCATTATCTGATATTACAACCATATATTCGACAAAACGAGCTTGAAGAAAGCACAATCAAAACCACCAGTCGAATCAAAAATATAGGAAATAAATGAAGTTTTTTAAATTCTATTTCTGATTTATCATACCAATGAAGTCATTTTGAGCACTACGCTTTATGTTTTATCATGGTATTGGACAAAATAACGGCACATCTAAAGGTTGAAACAGCTGTAAGGTGCTTCTCAGTTTTTCAGTTCACAATTCGTTTGTTCTATACACAACGAATTCCCTCTTTGAAACATCTAAAGGGATTCCATTAACTGGGAATTTGAATTCCGTATTTATCGATCGGTGGACATTGAACAACCAACCCGGTAAACCAGAACAATGAAAACATTTCAGCGCCCTGACACAAACACATTCTAATTAATATAACTTGAACTGCCTCGATGAATTCGATTGCTATCATTGATGGAACCAGTCAACTTGAGTAAACAGCCACTTCAGAACAACTCTTCCCCGTGAATTGATTTCTACAGTGATTGTACTGATGATGCGCGCATTACTTGTCGGCATTTACAGATGGCTTTCTAAATCGATCGATGTATGAAACATCAATCCAATGCTGCAGAATTATCACAAGCAGGCCAGACAGCCTGAGTATTTATATGGAATCAGCACGCAGAAACAGCAAGACATCAAAACTAGGACGATGAATGACCTCAAAACGAAATCTAATTTGAAAAAGGTCAGTGTTTTCAAAAGCATTTTGTTAAGTCGATACAAAGAAGCGGAGCTGAGTATAAACATGGGTTAATTCAGTATGAAGAATAGCTGATACTTTTCTTTTTGGTAGTACAATTGGAATACTGCCTGAATGAAAATTTATCATCAGAGTCGACAAGCTCTGTTAACATCAATGCTTAGAGCATCCGGTTGACCGTAGGCGGACAAAAAGTAACATTCTATGGTTAAACAATTGGTGATCTAATCGCATTATTTCCAGTGACAAAATGAACCTGCTTGACATCGTTTTGCTTTGAGCTTCACTCTAGGAGTACTGCTACTTGTAACTATTGAATAACATTTATATATATGGATTGGTAAAGAACACCAGCAGCTGCCTGGTTCTAATAGGACCACTTGACGATGAGCACTTCTCCTGAAACTGCTGTGTTCTTTTATGTGCGTGAAGGAGCATGGACTAGCAAGTAATATGCCGTGACAAAAAAGAAATATTAGGAATTCATCCTAATTTTGAAAGCGAATTGCTGGAGAATTTCTTTTACATAGAGCGAAGAAAGCTTCATGCTTGAAGCTCTTTTGAACCCTACATTAAGGGGGTACACATTCACAGAATATATCTCTCGATGCAAGTAGGAAACAGGCTTACAATCTGCGCAAAATCAATTATTACTTTCCAAAAGATTATTGAGGTTTTGTGGTTTTTTCTTCCATCCTTACCCTTAAATGATCTCATACTCACCGATATTTTCCCTGGTACATTTCATTTCAATTCTCAGGAAATGAGGGGCGATCAGTGAGTGTAACAGGCAAGCAGACATTTGACAACATGATTAGTTTTGCTGGAACGCTGACAAAGTTAATTTGTGTCAAGCTGCTATTGAAAATAATTTATTCAGTAGCAATGAATGGATACACATACAGCTACGAACCAATGACTTTGATCTTGTTTGTGTACAATTTGGGATTAAATGTAATGCCATAGCGTGTTTTTTTTGTTATTACTTGGGCAACTGAGACGGTAGTGTCCCAGAAGAAGCAACATAGTAGCAAATTTTCTACCCCAGTTCGATCTTTCAGTGCTTACAGTTCACGCACATTGCATATCAATAACACTTTAAAACTACCACGTGATGTCCTACGATCGTCTATTTATTTTCTCGTCTAAGGGTTACAAATCTTTTTTAGTTATTAGTAAAACGCGTTTCTAACCTACGGAGCAGTGCAAACTGGTTTTCTTTCTATTTATTTACTTATCCTAACTGAACCTATTTGTGGTAAAACATAAATGACGGCGATCAATTTAGATAAATGAAATTATAATGCATAAATTTCAAACGCAGTGCTGACTATTATTAGTATTTCATCGGTACAGGAAGATCGTGTGTTCGAAATCCGACTACCACCACCGCTCAAAATTTCCGTTATCTTTGCATCTCCCGGGCTACCGTTTGATGGACCTCTTTTCTCTTCGTGAAAACTGATAGTGAAACTGTCTTTAAATGTAATAAAGTAGGAAGATTAGTTGAAAAAGAAACCCTTAATTTATGAAGCACATACAGAAGCCAGGATTAAACGCATGTATGGATCACGTAATTAGCTGCACTTACGATACGAAACGAGGTAACGAAAATCCAAGTTTGTTTTCAATAATTACAGTGAAACGTTTAATTTTGAGTCGATCAATGAAGTTTCGTCCGTTATTGGTGAGCTTTCCTACATACTGTCCCATTTCTATCACATCATTGGACATGCTCTTTTATGAAAGTTTATCTTATGATATTTGCGCCATCTCGTTCCCCCAATTCCCCGGTTTCGTCTGGTGTACATTTGATGCCCCAAAACTTGAACAATTGAGGGACGGTTAAACCCGTTTCGCAGGCACACCTCATGTCTGATGACTGAAACCGGCTTTATCAGTATCAAAATTGGTTTTTGTTTTCATTCAACTCAGTTTTGCCGTGTGCATAACATGCATAGCTCGAATTGGAAGCTATATTGCGGCTTTCAATGCGCGAAGTCCATATCGGTCTCCCTCCGGTGAATGGTTCTGTCAATCCTACTGAAAATCTCTGTTCCGAGTTATGTTTATACCCAGTCTTGTCAGAACCAATAGACGAAGTTGTGCCAAACACATACGCCATTGAAAAACTATGATAACCCAAAAGGTGCATCACATTTCGTTCTTAACTATTTTTTCCTAATAGG